TATCTTTTACCCACATCCACTCGGATCTGCTACCTTCTTCCTCCTGACTAGAGAATGCATATATATATTTTTGACACACAATGTGGTATCACCTCCTTTTTTCTCAAACCTATTCTTTCAAAACTGAATGGACCCCTCATAGTTGATGTTTTAGTTGTAAGAGTTGTCCCACCAAGTTTCTGTAATACCAATTCATTCATAATTTTCTTCACAGGCTATGACTTTAAGATCATCTTGTTTGTTTCCCATATTCCTTGCATTTGTTTCTATGCATCTAAAGTATTTCACACTTTGACCTACTAGTTTCCCTCTTGCATCCCTTTTTTCATATTCTGTGGCTTTCTGGCCCTTCCTGAGTCAAGTTGTTTCTTCTGGTCCTCTTCCCTCTGTATTGTTTGCTCTGTGGCTAGAGGGTTTTGTTCACCATCCCCCAGGAAGTTCCCCTTTCTAAGTTGGCCAGGTGAAGCCTAGAGCTGCTCTTTCCAGTCCTTGTCAGATGGTTCCCATCTCTTGATAGCAGTCCTCCTCCCTGGGACATCTGCCCATTGTCAAAAAATCTAAATCCTTCATGATGACACCATATTCTCAGCCATGTGTTTACTTCCCTGGTGTATTGCTTCCTATCTGGGACCTTATCTTTGGGGAGGATTGACAAGAATGCCACCTGTGCATCATGCCCTTTCATCTTCCTACCTCAAGCCTCATGGTCTTCTCTGATCTACTCAAGTGTTTTTCCTGGCTATATCAGTGACATAGACAAGAAGGAAAGGATCTGGCCAGATGAGCTTTGGCAAGCTCTCTGATGTCTTGGATATGGGGTCCACTCCTCATGAGACCCCAGTTCCAGATGACAAATAGGCAGTTTTGTCCTCTGCAGGAGGAAGTCCTCAACCACCACCACTCTCCTTGTTTAGGTGGTCCTAGAGCCCTCATCCCTATGGCCCTGCTCTTCTCATCTACCTTCTTCTTTATTTCTTCTCTGTCTCCCCAGAGACTGCCTTTACCCACCAGGCTGAAAAGTATTTGGGAGTGAATTTCGCTCCCATTGGTGAGGTTCAGACTTGTGTAATACATATCCACCGAGACACGGGTCTCTGCCTTCCAAGGTAAATGTGACCTCTAGAATATAGGATTTTTCTCACCTGATGAATACTTTAATTATCCCATGCGAAGTGGAAAGCCTCACAGGAAAGATTGAACACCCCACCCCATGACAGCCTGGTGTTATAGCACAACATCCCTGGGAGGTGGAAGATATGGCATTACTGTCTAGGTAGAAGAGGGATTTGGATCTGGGTATACTTTTTCCTGAGTGAGTGCTCTAGCTTATAGGCTACTGGTAAATGGGGGTGGGAGGGGGAAGGTACTACCTTCACCAAAGCAAAAGCACGCAATGCCAGCAGGTCCTTTTTCTAGGCTCAGACTTTTGTGAATGGAGACTTAGGTTCCAAACAGTGGGCACACTGAAGTTCTTCAACACCCAGAAATACTGTATGGGCTCGACATGTCAGGCCATGGAGAGTTGTTGCCCACTATAGATCCGTCATCATTGTGTTGGTGTGACCCAGGAAGCAGGAACTGGAAGCCAATAGATATTATGGTTCCTGGCACTTTCTTCTCTTAGTGCTGCAGAATGCAGAGCTCAGAACAATCTTGATTTCTGCATTCTGGGAATTGTTTGTAAGATCCACAGTGTGTATGCATGAATTTGTGCTAGTATGTCAAAATAAAACGCATTCTTATCTTGCACTTGTGGTTAGGTTACACTCAACAGTTTGTACATATGGTAAACAAATCTATAAAGCCTATACTCTGCGCTCAGAAGCACTGCATATTTCCTGATTGCCAGCTGAGTGGAGCTAGTTGCTTCCTGTTTCTCTGAATTCTTACTGTGTTTAATATGCCTTAAAAGTGTTCCCTGCTTTCCATAACTAGATGGAATTGGAGTGCAGAGGACATGTTAATGTACAGCTCATGCTCTTTCCTTCTTCTGTAGCCCTCATCATATGTGCTTGAAGTTTTCAAGAAAGTCAAGTCAAGGTGAGTCGCAAGAGGCTTCTTGCTGAGTGGGATCAGTGCTTGAGTGTTGGCCTTGGTTCCTTTGGAGAAGCTGCCAGCACTGGAGGTGGGCAAGAAAAGAAAAACTGGAATGATTGTTGTTAGCAGCTGTGCTGCTGGGGAAAATAATCATTCCCTCCTTAGTAAGAGCTGGCTGAAACTTCGGAATGTGTTGGACCCGCAACCCATGGTGTCATGGAAGGGAGAGCAGCACTGAAAACCTGAGGGAGGGAGGTATGGAAGGTGCAGAGCCTGCTAGTCTTCTTTCCACAAGGCAGGATTGTCTACCAGCCTGCTTCTTGCTCTGGGATGTGTCCAATAAACCACGTGTTCTCTGACCAGTGCTGGCATTGTTGGCTCCTTTCCCTCAGACATAGCTGAGCAGTGACAGTCCTGAGAGTTACTTTGCACCATGTGCCATACTTTGGGGAGAAAGAGGAGGGAAGGATATTTAAGTCTCCTGGACAGAGCAGTGGTGGCTGCTCAACATGGCCACTGTGCCAGAGCCTCCCTGCATGGCATTGTTTCCCTCCATTCTGCGTTAGGACAGTGGCTGCTTTGTGTGTGGATGGACTTAGTCACCCCTGTCCCTCTCCACTTTCCCCTCAGTGAGGTGGAGGAGTCTCTGCTGGTCCTGCCTTTCTCATACATCCCTGACCTGCTCACTCTCTTCAACGAGTACATCCAGGTGGGCACTGAGGTGGAGCTCTTCTGCCGTGCTCTCCTTTTCCTCCTCAGGTGAGTCACAAAGGGTGGAAGTCCAGCACTTACTGCCATCTGACACTTCTGTGTCTCCTGACCCAATCTTAGGGGGTGAGCCCCTATCACAGTTAAGGCAAACAGTTGGACTGGCTGGCAGGTCACGGGCTGACTGGGTCTGAATGGGCCCTTTCTAGCCTCAATTGTGGTGGCAGTGGGGTGGTGTATGCTGCCAGCCAGCCCTGCTGCTCTCTGCTGGTTTTGTGAATAGGGACTGGGGATGTGTCTTTGACCTTCTGGGCTGAGCCAGCACTTGCCCTAGCCCCATGATCCTTTGAGCCCCTGCTTGAGAAAGGGTTGCTCTATGTAATTAGAGCTTGCTTTGTCTGCTTTTTTTCCTTCAGGATACACTTTGGACAGATTACAAGCAATCAGATGCTTGTGGCAGTGATAGAGAATCTGAAGAAAACCACCATCTCCAAAGTCAGTGAAGCCCAGGTGAGTGCCTGCAGCAATACCCTGTGCTTCTGGTTGTGTTTCCATCTGTATCCAAAGCCTTCTCAGTACTCTGTCCCTTTCCCTTGTTTCTGTAGCAGGCAAGTTCCTGGCTGTGGTACAGACAGGGGCTCTGTTATCTTTTATTTGGATTTTTGTTCTCCTATGCAAGTGTCCTGTTTATGCAGGAAAGACAAATAAAATCCCCTTTTTGGAAAGGAAGCCAGCTTTGACTTCGGATTTAGGATTCACAAGTAACCCAGACTGTGGGGAGATATTGCAGATTCCAGCAATCTAAGTTTCAGAAAAGGGAGAAGATTGTGACTTGTCAGAGGCACGGAGCAGAGGCTATATCTGCCACCATGCAGTAATCCTTGTTTTGAGTTGGTGCTCAGTTCTGGTTTGTTCCTCTGTGCTAAAAAGAAGTTAGCTATAGGATTGTGTTGTGTAGATCTGTAGAGTTGTTTGGTTGCTCCTTGCCCAGAGAGGGTGAAAAAAGCCACTCCGATGTGCCAGAGAGAAGGGATTCCTTAAGCAAGTGAACTCTTTGCTACCAGGAAGCTAGGGCAATGCCCAGCATTGTGTTTATCTCTCTCCACAGGACATGCTGGGATTCAACATGGCTGGGCTCCAATACCTGAAGAGAGAGATTGAAGCCAAGGGTGAGGTGACTTTCTTTGCTGATGCCAGTGACCATTTTGAGGAGAAGAAGAAAAAGAGGAAGAAGAAAGAGAAGCTGATTCTTGCAGTGGTTTAGCTCTTGCTCTCCATCATGGGGGTGCAATGAGTGGCTCACGCAGTGTCAGCATGCACCAGAAACCTGTCTTTGGGCTTGAGACAGTCTGCTGTTATGGACACTGGCTGAAGTGGACTCCAGAAGGCCTGTTCCTCTTAGAGTTGGGGGCTCTTTAGCTTTATCGACTCGGGGCATAGTGAGTTCTTTTCCCAGGCGTGAGATTGAACCCCCTCTGTTCTGCTGTTATATTTGAACCCTTGAATTGGCTTCATATATGCTGCCCTCCTCCCTTTTCTTAGCAGCCATTAGAAATGGTTTCATTTCCTCCTGAAGCGGTCCAACTTCCTGTCAGTGTTTTAATTGAGTGAGGAGGATCAAGACATAGTTTGCAGACTCCTTCGGGTCCAAGTCATTTGTGTGGGGGCCGGTGGCTTGGCTTTGTGCTGGTCTTGCAACAGGGAGTGGCTTGTTGCAGACACAGGCTACGCGCTTCTCACTGCAGACCAGGCTAAGGAACACAACACCAACACCCCCCCCCCCCAATGGGGCTGGTTTCTGCCACAGCTGCAGGGCCTAGCCCTACTGCAGTATAGATCTGTTTTAATTATGTGCAGTGGGAGGGTGATTCCATGGAACCTTGTCAGAGGACTTCTCACAATTTATTGGCACCTTTTATCAAACTTATCTGACATCTGGGCCCCAGAAATAGGCCTACAGGAGCAAAGGGGAAGAGTGGAAGTGTGAGTTTTTTGCACTGTATTTGGAGTGGGCAGGTTCACTCAGTATGTGGAGAGGAGAGGTGTCATTTCTGTTGGGAGTGGCATAGAACTGGTACCATTCTGTCTCTGTCATCTGTTTAGATAAATCACATCTTCTGGAAATAAACCAGAGAGTAATCCTCTGCTGTTGCTGCTGTTTGTGGTATGTGCTGTTACGTCCTTAAAACTGTTGGTAACATAGCTTTCTGTGAACTTTGATAAAAACACTACTGCCCTCTGGTCTACAGAACATAGTGCAGGGACTTGGAGCTGGACCTGTTTTTGGTTCAGGAATTGTCTAGATTTTTTAAATAACTGTTCCAGCTGTTCAGCTGATCATTGACCTCACTGACTTGCCATTTGTGAGCCCAGTTATACCCAAGCAATTGTGCTGAAGGCAACTAAGTGGCTGATGTATCTGAGGACAACAGAACTTTTTACTGTTGGTGATGCCATGTAAAATAGAGCAAACCCAGCCTGACTGTCCAATCTTAGAATGAATTTGCAAGGTGTATATGGGGGAAAAAAATCCTCTTTATTTGCTATGAAGTCAAAGAGGAGGATAAAAGTGGAATCTCGCAATGGTGTTTAATCCTTTCACAGCTAACCTGATGTTTGCTCTGTTCTTTGGGAAGCTGTATTATAAGGTCAGGATACAGCATCATGGGAGAACTGATCAAGAAACTGATGCAGTAGTTAAAATATTTTAATCAAGTTAGGTGTGAATGAATTGAGTCACTATATTTATGGGGGAAAAGTTGATACAATAATAGTTAAGTAAAATGCAGGTATGTTGGTACTGCTGGTTTTGGTGTTGCTCCTCCAGTGCTCTGATCTGCAATGAAAGAATAATGAAAATTAACAAGAGTTAATTAAGAGGTGCAAAGTTCTGCAGCCACGATACTAATCCTCCTTCAAGTATCTGTTCACATGCACATTCTCCCTCATGGATATGTGTCAATGCCTTGTTCTTTGACCAGACATTTTTGCTTTCATAGTTACTCATAAGAGTGCACCTCAGCCTAGGTCTTGTGTTGCCTTGCTGAAGGTGTAGAGAGCAGTACATGTTTCCTGTTCATCATTTCGTCTCACTCTAGTTTCATGTGTCTACTGACTTGAGCCTTAGGAAGCATTCGGGGCAGGGGCAAATGAGAGCAACACAGGAGCTCTTCTATTGTACATGTGCTACAAGTGAACTGAATCACCTCATCTGACGCAAGGTTAAAATTGAAGTAAATCTGCTCTATTGATATGGCTACAGACTCCTGTGTTGCAGTGGAACAGCTGCTGCCTGGTCAGGAGTGGCACCTCACTCTTCCCTTTTGAAACTGCTCCAAGTACATTTTTCTCCATGTCCTTAGACTCATTTTTTTTTTCTATTCCCCCAACACCTTTACTATCCTGAGAACATCTGTAAGAGTTGTTCTTGTGTACTGTCTTTTGGGGGAATCCACAGACTTTGCTGTCACCTAGCACCTCAGCACTAATGCCAACTCCTCCCACCTTTGTAATAACGCCATAGATAATATTCTGCGGCCTGGACACTTTTTGTGGAGTGTCACCCATTTACTAAGTGAATTTGCTCTTTTTCTTTTTCTCCCCTTCAGTTCAGACAGGGGGACCCCACCCCCCTTCTTTTTTTGCCCTCTGACGTGGCCTTGCTTTTCTCGGCTTTCAACCATGCCCCTTGTGCACCAGTTTCATACTGTCATCTAACAGCCACATGCGATGTTTATTCTGACTGTCGGAATCTCTGCTCACTGGGCTTACAGACCCCTTGAGGACATTTTTTCACTCTGGCCTTAAGTTTTGTTTATACTCCCAAGTGCTACAGTCACCAGCCTGTCTTTGGAACTAGTGGACTCCTTGTTCAGGGTACTGGTGAAGATCCTTTTTGGGCACTGAATCCCCAGCACCTCTGGTACCATTGCATCATATGTGCTTGCCAAAAAACAGAAGTCACAAGCTGTAATATGTTGACTTAATGGCCCACAGGATACCATATAATGATGGTTAGAAGGCAGCAGTACGCAACAGGTCCCCAGGTGGTGTGCTTTCTCCAGCTCTTCTTTATGCTATATTTGAGGCTGACTGAAGGATCTGGGCCAGTTCAGGTGGGTCTGTGGAACTAAGCATTCTAGGTTGGGAGGGTCTGTCTTGGCAGTCAACCCTATCCTGACAGTACTGGGGTATCCAATATGACCATATTGGCTAGGTTAGGTATAGTGCATGATGTTAGAGACCATGGGCCACATTCCCTCTTGGTCAGCCTCTCAGTACCAGTCCCAAGATGCATGGCTTTATCCTTCATATGAGGACGAAATTGGTGGTGAGGATGTTCTAAATTAGTGTTCAGATCCCTGCACTGTAGCCTAAGGTTACTGATGAAGCTGAAAACTAAGGGCATTCTTGCTCTGAGGGAGCAGTAGATGTCTGTGTAGTTGGGGCACTGAGATAGTACTGGTACAAAGGAGAATTGGATGGTGCTACATGCGTTAATAATGTTGGTTGTTGCAGCATGGGGAAGCTGTGTGGTGATGTGGATATTGAGGTAATTTTGATGGCACCACCATGTTGCGGTGAGAAGTGGATGCTGCTGAGTTGTCTGAGGAGGGGAGTTCTCAGCACTGCTGTATCCAGTTGTTCTGGAGTGCCATTTTGGTGCCCTTTCTTGGTACCATGGCTAGCATGACCTTCAGCAAGAATCACGTGGACAATGGTGTCTCAGGAGACAAGTGATGCTTTATACTTGGAGAGGATTTGGTAGAGCATCTGCCTTGGAGAGCTTCTGCCCTTGTCTTTGACAGTCTCTTGTCAGGTTGGTGTTTATGTTGCTTCTGTGTGGTGTATGTTGCTACCCTAGAAGTTGGTGAGCCCACTCTTGTGCAGTGTGGCTCCAGGGGACTCTGGTGATCCCAGGGCAGCAGGTGATATCATGGCTTTGCTCATAAGAAATATCTGCAGTCTCCCTGGTTCAGGAGGCAAAATAATTGCGGATACTGTGAATTCCCCTCAGACCAGGCATTTCAAGATGCCCATCATATGTGAACCATACTCTCTCACCTGAGGGGCTATATTTTAATCCTAGGGAACTAGAATAGCCAGGCAGAATTCAAGTCTAGTTCAAAGAACTACCAGTAGTGTGACATTTTCCAAAGAAGAGATAAAAATACTACTACACAACTAACTGGCTCAAATTCCAGCGTATGAGCTTCTAACAGTTAAAGCACAGAGGGCAAGCCACTCCTGTTTTGAAATTAGAAGGGGAAAGATTGCGGTTGGCACGTTCCATCTTTGGCACAGATTGCAAAGGTGTGTGTGTGTGTGTGTGTGTGTGTGTGTGTGTGTGTGTGTGTGTGTGTGTGTGTGTGTGTGTGTGTGTGTGTGTGTGTGTGTGTGTGTGTTGACCAGATACCACTGCCCCAGAAATTCATGCCATACCATTAGCTAAATGAGAGGATGGGTTGGCAACTTCAAGTCCCCTCCCTTAGCAGTAAAGAGAACACTGGTATGTTGCCCAAGGGAACAGAAGCCTGCTTCATTGTAGGCAGTTTCCTGGATGCAAAAAGGTGCTGTATGGCTCAAGTACTGATGGTGATGGTATATGCAGAGAAACTGGAGTCAGAGAACAGTCAGAGAAACTGGAGCTCCAAGTCCATGTTACAATTGATCTGCAGAAGTAAAGCTGCTGGTTTTTTTTTTATTAGAGTTGCCATCAGTGTCAAGAGGTCACCAGTAAGACCTGTGATGGGGCCATCCCGGGGCTGAGATCTTATGTCTGCCCAGACTTGCCTGCTACAACTTACTGGTTTAATAACCTGGTGTTCTAAATGGGAGGCTGCCCATTATAATGCCCCGAGGCCAGGGGGTGCAATCCATGGCTCCATATCATCCCTACATCATGGCCCATGCCTCGCAGATGGCATCCAGAATCTTATTGTATTCCCAGCCTGAAGCTGGACCAACTTAATTCTCTGTCAGGCCTCTCACACGCTGCTCTGTTCTGAGTCTCACTCATACCGCCCTCCTCTCACTGGGGCCTCTTGTAGTCTGCCCTCTCTCACTGGGCCTCTTTCATGCTGCTCTGTACTGGCCCTCCTTCACGCTGCCCAGCTCCACTGAGCGGCTCCCATAGGCCATTAGGCTTATCAGTTTCACTCCTGGCTGGCTGACATGCAGCCTTTTGGGCCTCTCCTGTGACCCCCATCTGGGTAGTGACCAGCCAATTCACCAGACATTGGGCTAACTTTGCCCTAGCCCCTCACCAGGTGCTTCTACACATACAAAACACACTCTTGTGGGGGTTGGCCCATGTGCTGCCCTTTTGGCCATCCTTCAGCCCTACTCAACACCCCCATTGATGCAGCCCTTCAGACTGGCCTTCAGCTCTACTCTGCATCTTGCTTATGCAGCCCTTCAGTTCGTAAAGACCCTCCATATTCTGTATGGGCCCACCAAATACCTTACTGCCCTCCTCTGGGGTCAATCCCCTGCCCTCTCCCTTGGGGCTGTCCAGGATCTTGCATCCCCCTAGGTCTCAGGTGTCTGGAGACATGCCTGGCCCTCTTACCCACCATGTTGTGGGGGCTGGGGATATTAAGGCGCCCCTATGCACCTTTCACCGGGGAGGTTAGTGGTCCTGGCGTTTGAATGACACTGCCCTGCCACAGGCAGTCCCTCCAGGCTTCTGTACCCCAGCACAGTGCAGTTTCAGGTCAGGCCCAGGACCAGGAGCCTCCTGCCCTTACCTCCAAGATGTTGTGAGCAGTGGGTCAGCCAGGTGATGTTACTCCCTCAGCTGCAAGCAGCAAACTGCTGCCTCTGCCTGGCTTGCCTAAGTTTGAAAATGGCTGCCTTAATCAAGCACCTGTCAGTTGCCTGATCCAGCCCTTAAAGCAGCAGGCATCAAAGGTGCATGGCCATAACCTGGTTTTAAGCAGTGAAGAATATTAGAAAGAGACCGATTTATTAAGGCTTGGCTGCAGGGAAATCCCAAGGGCAATAGGCTCAATAAGGTGTTTAATGTGGAGATGATAAGCAGAGGCTTTTGAAACACTGAGGAATAGGAGGGGGCTCAGCTGTGAGTGTCGCTTCTGGAGCTGAGCAACTGTAATGACATGTACACTTCCAGCAGGCAAGCCCTTTTTTTACCATCATCTACTGCTCTTCTTTAATCCACCAGGCAGTTCCTCCATGTCTGTCTTCTGCTATCAGCAGTACTAGGCTCAAGGATGAGTCACCAAGATGATATTTGGACAGTTTTGGAAATAGAAGTTAATATCATTCCTCTGATGTACTTACATTATATGGGCAGTTTGCGGGGCAGCACAATCCTGAAGATGGGTGTGGTGCTTTCAGAAACTAGCCGGACCACTGCTGTCTCCCTGTCCTGCAGATAGCTCTCTGGCCTGCTCTCATAGATACTGCCCATTAACACAGGTAATGTACTTGTTAAGGTTCTGTTTGGGGTTTTTTTGGTAAGCAAAAAAAAAAAAGAACGGTGGCACCTACAGGCCCAGAGGTACTGGATCCTTCAAAAAAACTTAAAACTGAACTGCAGACCCCACCCAGAACACTAGAGGTCAGACAGCCAATTTTTGCCAAAGTAACATTTGGGGGGGGAAGCAGAAACAATGCAAAATCATATTAATTACAAAAAAGTAAGGCTACACAGGACCTTATGTGGTCATTTAGTCCAATCCACTGCTCAAGGCAGGATCATCCCTATCCAAACCAACCATCACAGACAAGTGTTTGTCTAACCCCTTCTTAAAAACTTAGGGAGCAAACTGGCACATACACAGCTATTGGGCATAATGGTTGAAATGTCAATAA